AGTAGAGACGGGGTTTCACCATGTTGACCAGGATGGTCTCGATCTCTTGACCTCGTGATCCACCCGCCTCGGCCTCCCAAAGTGCTGGGATTACAGGCTTGAGCCACCGCGCCTGGCTATTAATATTATTATTATTTATTTTTTATTTTTATTTTTATTTTTTTTTAAAAACGGGGTTTCACCATGTTGGTCAGGCTGGTCTTGAACTCCCAACCTCAGGTGATCCGCCCGCCTTGGCCTCCAAAGTGCTTGGATTACAGGCGTGAGTTACCACGCCCAGCCAAGTATTAATGTTATCAATGCTATTAAACTTAATCACTTCATGTAATAATATATCTAGGGGAAAATGTGATAAGCATTCCAAATTAAGAGGCAAGTACGTATTTTCCCCAGTGTAACTGGGATTAAAGACTTTTCTGGCTTAAACTACTAGAGGTATGCCCTAGGACCTAAGGAAAAGAGTTATGGCAGAGTAGAAGGTTTTTCGAGAGGCCAAGGTGGGTGGATCGCCCAAGCTCGGAGTTCAAGACCAGCCTGGGCAATATGGCAAGACCCTGTCTCTACCAAAAATACAAGAAATTAGCCAAGCATGGTGGTATGCACCTGTGGTCCCAGCTACTTGGAAGGCTGAGGTGGGAGGAACACCTGAGCCTGGGAGGTGAAGGTTGCAGTGAGCCGAGACTGTGCCACTGCACTACAACCTGGATGAAAGAGTGAGATCCCATCTAAAAAAAAAAAATTTCCCAGCCTAACCAACATGGTGAAACCCCACCTCTACTAAAAAAATACAAAAATTAGTCAAGCTTGGTGGCATGTGCCTGTAATCCCAGCTACGTAGGAGTCTGAGGCAGTAGAATTGCTTGCAACTGGGAGGTGGAGGTTGCAGTGAGCCAAGATCGCACCACTGCACTCCAGCCTGGGCAACAGAGTGAGACTTTGTCTCAAAAAAAAAAAAAAAAAAAAAAAAATTCACTTCCTTTTGCTTCTGACCAATGTTTAACCTTGTCTAGTCCACCATTAACTAACAGAAACAATAGGAAAAAGATAGGAAGTTATTAAAACTTTCTCCTAAGAACATCACTCCCCTCCCCATCATGAAACCTTATGGAGAAAAATGAAGGCCCTATAGGTGTAGAGAAATTACTAAAGTAAGACATTCCAGAGAAATATCTAAACTCTACACAGAACATTTTCTCACAGGAGTTTAAGCTGCAGATGAAAACAAAACTAGGGAAAGAAGCTACAAAAAGGAAAGTGGGAATAAAGATCAAGTAAGAGTGGGTCTGAAAGAGAGGATCTACTACCACCTACCACCAATGTTGCCACCAGTGCCTAGAGTAAGGTGAGAATGAAATGAAGGAGGAAGGGGTAGACTGCCACAATCAAAACTGACGGAGGGCAAAAGGGAGATCTAAATACTAAACAGGGCGAGGTGCCATGGCTCACACCTGTAATCCTAACACTTTGGGAGGCCAAAACAGGAGGATTGCTTGAGACCAGGCTGGGCAACATAGTGAGACCTCATCTCTACCAAAGATTTAAGAATTAGCTGGGTGTGGTGGCACACACCTGTAGTCCCAGCTACTTGGGGGGCTAAGATGGGAGGATCACTTTACCCCAGGAGGTGGAGGCTGCAGTGAGCCATAATTGTACCACTGTGCTCCAGGCTGGGTGACAGGCCAAGGCCCTATCTCATAAATAAATAAACCCTTGGTAGTGGAGAAAAGGATTTCCAGGGCCACTGGGCCACCAACTGGAGTACCACCTGAAGTAAATAATTTGTGTCAGTTAAGGGCAACTTGGTTCAGATCTTCCAATGTGTAGGAATCTTAGGATTTTATCAATCAAGATGTTGCCTGAATTTTGCAGTAAATATACATTAATATAAATTCCTACTCCAAGCATTTCATTTTGTGATTGAAAGCAGTGTTATTTAAAGTGTAGCCAGCTGGCCAACAGCATCAGTATCACCTGAGAGCAGGATGGAGGCACCTGTGTTTTAACAGCTTGCTAGGTGATTTTTATTTACATTATAGTTTGAGAAGTACTTCTCTAGGGCATAGATTTATAAAATGGCTAGTTGGTCCCCAAGGTACTAGATGAGGTAGAGTTGTGCACAAGTGAGGACAATGCATGCCCTAGAATCACTCATTTCACACAATGGGAAAGCAGTGACACAGAAGCACAAAATGGTAACCGACGTGAGCAAATATGAGAGTTGCTGATGTTGCTTTTCTAAGGATATTAGGCAAGAAGGACACCACCATATGTGTTTTGAGATTGCTTTGAAATAGAAGAGGCTGCTCTAGGACAGAGGAAGAAAAGATGGGTCCCAGCTACTCGGGAGGCTGATGTGGGAGGATTAGACCTGGGAGGCTGAGGCTTCAATGAGCCATGATCATGCCACTGTTCCAGCCTGGGTGACAGAGCAAGACCCTGTCTCAATCAATTACCTAATAATTTTTTTTAAAAAGAATAAAAAGCAAGAGAGCCACATCTGTACTCTGAGAACCAATAATGAAGGGAAATATGGGAAGTGGTAGCTCTAAAATAGATGCTCAATAATAAATATTTAAAATGTTAAGTTTATTTTATTTTATTTATTTATTTTTTTGAGACGGAGTTTCACTCTTGTTACCCAGGCTGGAGCGCAATGGCGCGATCTCGGCTCAC